GGGAAAGAAACGCATATTGGATAAGACTGCTGCTAAAACATTAACTTCCTTCTTTTTAATACTGAAATCTGTGGAGAGCACACCACTTTTCTACTCTGTACGCTCTGTGTGTGTACACATGTTGCCTTAGGAAATGCTCATATTGCTGCTTATGGTCCATTGTTGTCACGTACATCTTCCTAATCCTGCTCTCCTTTATTTCTCTCCCTGCCTCCACCTAGAAATGGAAAACCTTATGTAAAATTGTTATGCAAAACCCCAAAAAAATAATTTATTGTTATAATATTAACACTGAAGGTATTATTTCAGACAATAACCGCATTCTCTGTGGGTTTAATTATTGTTTTATGGTAGTTATAGTATTCTTCTTAATTAATGTCATTTAACAGTCCTCAGAAAAATATTATTAGTGATTTTTTTTCAAATATAATTGTGGCTACAAAGAAACAGAGTTGTAATTTTCTGTCTTCATCTTTATTAGTTTTTCTGTCTTGTTCATCATTATGACATTATGATAACACCCAAGCTAACTGCAGTAGTTTGCACTGAATGTGGAAAGGCTGAAAATATGTGCAGTAGGGATTGCATCACAGTTGGGGGTTTTTATTTATAGCTTTAAATAAAGGAAGTCGTCTTTCCTTCATTTTTTCCTCAGTTTCTGCTCTTGCTTCTTTTACTTTCACATATTTTTTTGAAGATTAAGAAATAGTAGTAATGTCAAAAATCCATCTTGATTATTATCAAAGTAGATTTTGCAATCCTTCTTTTGATACTTTGATTGGACAACATAATATGCCACGAGCCCTGTTTTCCTTCTTGAAGTTTCTAATTTTACATAGTTTAAGTTTGATGTATAATCTGATGTCCCTAAACCATATGGCCATGGAGATAGAGGTCTGAACAAGGCAGTAAAGGTTATTAGTCTTTTAGCATGCTTTCCAGCAAACCCTTGCACCAAACCTCTGTCAGCATGACATCCCGCACCTGGGAAACACTACAAGCAGTTCAGGGCTTGGGAAGCTTCACTCTGAGCAGACAGAAATGATCATGAATTAGCAGTAGAAAAGAAGCATGTCTAAAAGCAAGCCTGTGCTATTTAGGCCTGGGTTAAGCAGCATCCAAGCTGAGATCTGGCTTTAGGCAATTTCAGCTCTATTGGAGCATTGAGTTCTGTGTATTTACTTTTCAGGTGTTTAGTGAGCTTGAGAGAAGCATCGCCAGTTACCATAATGCATCTAGTCGGTTGATATAGTTCTGCTGAGAACCATACTAGTAGCAAAACCTATGGTGTGAAATCTGTTTTACTAGGTTGTTATTTCTCTGTTGAGTGGTGGAAAGCTTTTGCTTGACAAAAAAGATACTCTTAAGGAGAACATGAGGTATAAGCCATGGTAAGTCATACTAAGCTCTTGATAATTTACTCTCTATAAAAACAGTTTGGTTCCAGCTTTTCTCTGTACTCCCAATTATATATTGTAGTCTCTGTACCTAAATTACCCTGTTACTGAAATAGGAAGACATTTAAAATGTTCTTCATTGATAAGCAGCTGGTCCAGCTCAGTGTCTAGTACTTACAACTGCTTCAGGTTATGAACTGATTTGTCTGGTTCATTTTTGACACTTCAGTGGTTAAAGTTAAAAGACGCTCTCTCCTCTTACATGAGACTGTCAGCCTCTGAACTTCTCGTTCAAGTAAATACATTTTTATTATTTTTTATCACAGGGTCAACAGCCCTCAGAGTTATAAAATTAAACACACAACAAATCCTGGTGTTGCTAGGCACTACTTTACATATACTTTCTGCCACCTTTCTGCCTGTAGCTAATGCCTCACTATAGAAGTGGTTTTGATTATATTTTTTTCACTTATTGTGCAGTTCAGGATTTTTTGTGTTAAATCAGTATTAATCCATGTTGTTTGGGTTTTTTTTCTCTCTCTCTCTCTTATTTTTAGGTCATTGGAATATTAGATGTGTTCACACCAGATGTAACACTGGAGAAGTTTAATGACTTGTAAGTTCTGAGTTGTTTGTGTTTGGAAGCAGGGCAACATTGCTTGTGTGGGAGGTAGGGTTGTTGCTTTTTTATCTATAAGGTGTGTACTTCTTTCAGCCCTTAATAAATAAAAGTTTAATGGATTTCCTAATCCACCTTTCAAGTGCTGGTTTCTTACCCGAAGGCTTAGGTTGCCAAAATGAGAGCACAATTCTTAACCCAAACAAGTAGGCTGAAAATGATACCTGCTGCATGACATGTCTCGGTGTGATCCATGCTAACTCTAGGATTAATTACAAACTGCTGATCTGCTGAATTTTTTTAGTGATTATCTGTGCTGTGGTCTGTTGTACTCCCTTGACTGTTTTCCCAGTCCAGTGGTCCAAACAGCACATGATATAGACTGCTAGCACCAGGCATGTACCCCACTTTTTGGCAGCATCTCAGATACTTGGCATGTTTGCCGTTTTGCTTATGGATCTTGCTACAATTCTTGTGAATTAGAGTCACTAGAGAGACAGTGGTTAGAAGTCTTGTTGGGCTTAATGTAGATTCATGTTACATTCATAGAACTATTCTGGATTTCACCTAGTGTAGCTATGTTTAAAAACTAACCTTGCATATTTATATGTTAACAAAGAAAGCTATCTGACTGGAAAATGTAGAAAATGAAGTACAGAAAACACGGAGCGTGTGTTCAATATGATCATTTGGGCCGAAATGGTCATTGAGCCAGACAGGTTGTTCATACTGCCTATTGTGCTAGCCTTTTAGATAGCATATGTAATAGAATGAACATCTACGCTCAAGCACTGTTTTAAATGAGACCCTAAAATAATCTTTTGAGTTTTGGAGGTGCAAGTCAAGTGGGAGGGATGTTTTTATATCTGAAACTGCAACAGGTGAGCCTATGGCAAGTCTTGCTTTCAAGACTTTGGGCAAGCTGTTAGAGGTGAGCAGAGGTAGGTGTGTGTACGTTTAAAAGTGGAGAAACTGTATTTGTGAAATGACGACAAATGGGTCATTTAAGGGAGACTTTCTTCTTGCTGACTAGTCATGAGATGTTGTCTGTGGCCTGTTGTATAAATATCAGTTTCAAGTGGATTTATGGCTAGAAGCAGCAGAAACATAGTGGGTGGTTTCACCAGAGCCAGTCACTAAGGTTGGTCTTGTCTGACACCTGGGGTTTCTTAGCTGACTTGTAGCCCTTCTTTCTAGAGAGGAGCATGCTCCTATTCAACCTGCCACTCTGCTCTCCTGCTCCTCTATTCTGCCAGTCAATGTGTTAATGAAGATTGAAGACAGAGTTCTGTCTACTTTATGAAGGAACAGTCCTTTCCCTGCTCATGTTTTGTGTTAAACTTCCTTCAGTTTTAGATGTTCAGCTGATCGAAATGGTGTACAAAATCAGAAATGCATAAATCTTTACCAATTCAAGTCCTACTCTACCAGCTGCTTTTCACTCCCTTCACCTCTATTCTTTGCATTATCCATGCTTGTATGATACATGGTGTGCCAGAACAGGTTGCTGGTCTTCATTTTGTAAGAATTTGGGGTTTTAACTAGAACTTACAAAGAACTTAGATGCATTAGGCATTAAGTTCCAGTTGAAGTGAATTATGAATCAGGTACCTAACCTTCTCAGATTATTTGAGGACTCCAGCTGTGGATCATAAATACTTTTTTAATAATGAAAATAAGCTTGTGAATTTTTAAGTGTCAGACAAAGTATTACACGTGAGCCCGTCATGTTTGATCCCATTGTTGTCCTGTTCCAATGTGTTGCTCATAAATTATTGCTAAAGTTTGAATTTTAAAATGCAGACAGGAGCGGGTTTTTCCTCTCTTATATTTTGGTTTTTTTCTCCACCCATCCTCATTTGACTGTAAGAGACTTGAAGTCATCAGTTTGTAAACTTAGAAAATTGTGCTAATGTAAAAATACAGTCTGATTTGTGCTTCTCATCCTGTTCTTTGCAGTGCTTAATGTTTATATATTGCTTTGAACCAAAATAGATAAAACCAGAAAATCGGACAGTGGGAAGATGATGATGGAATTGTTTGGTAAACAGAATTATCTGTAATTTAATATTGTCACTGAACTATAACATACAATTATGTTTCAATTTATTTGACAAATAGAGGTTATTCTGGTTTTGTTTTATTTTGTTTTTAAGCTACCTTGTCATGCCGTTTATGGGAACAGACTTGAGTAAGATAATGAAGCATGAGAAACTAACTGAAGACCGAATCCAGTTCCTGGTATATCAGATGTTGAAAGGCTTAAAGGTTTGCCACTTCTACTATTATTTTGATTTCACAATCTTTTTTTCCTAGTAAATCATTATTGAGAGAGAATTGAGAGCTAGAAATACTTATCCTTTGATATGATAAACTTTATCTTGGCTGGCATAGTAAAAGTAATGACATTCTACACAGCAGTCGTTTTGTGGTGATAAATGTTATTGGGGGAGGGGAGGTGTTGTATTAGGTTTTTGTCTGTGGCTTTTTCAAGCAAAAAGAAAAGATAACCATTCAAGATCTGTATAGCACATTGATCCAGGGTGGCCTTGGTTTCTGTGTCTGAGTACACCAGAAAGTCCCTGCTGTGATTTTTAGTTGCTTTGTTCCCCAGCAGTTGATTGTGTTACTGCTTTGCCATACCTCTTACTGTGGCTGGTTGGAGAGTGTAGAGACTAAGAATGAAACCGCTGTTGAGTTTAGAGCCAGGATTTCCCTTGACTTGCTCCCTCAGCTGTGTCATCAGCTTCAGATTTCTGTAATTTGAAAATGGTTCTGTGGCTTACCAGTACTAATCTGACAGTGTTGCCAAGGCATCTGTACCTAACTTGTTCTAAGTGTAGTACATTTCTGTGCTCTTCTGAGGAGCATGTACGTATGTTTGTATGTATATGCGTGTGTGTATATATATATAGGATTGATGTGTGTATGTGTATATATTTATACCACACCCTTACATAGGGTATATATGTACCATACATATCTATCAACCTGTAGCTGTGGTATTTGGGGGTGAAAGTCTGACCCCAGGAGGGACTCTGAGACCTGTTGACTCCTAGTGCTCATACTGATTTTGGGCAATGTTCAAGGCCCATGGCAAGTGGTGGTTTGGTCCCTGCGTGTTAGAAGTCCAGCCTGCAAAGGACTAAAGCTCATAGCTAAATTTAAATACATAAGTCATTGGGATTATTTCTATAGTAAAGTACCTTTCTGAGCCACATATCTGAATGTTTACTATGTAATTGAAAAGTATGTGTCCTTTGCGCAATGCGCATGTAAAGTTAAAGAGTCTCTGAAGTCTCCAAGTCTGGAACAGCTTTGATAAAGAGGAAGGACTTTTAGTGACAAATCTGAGTGGGAGGGGCTGGGACGAGCACAGATAAATCACAAGCCCAAACTAACAGGCACCTGAGTTAAGCAGCTGTGAAAGATGGCAGTGGTCTCAGGGACCTATGATTTGTCAAATACTACTGGTAAAGGTGGAGGGAAAGAAGGCATTGAATACCTTGACCTGTTCTATGCCCCTTGTCACCTGATGCTCTTCCCCATTCAGCACTAGTTTTCTGTTTGCTCCTGATGTGCATGTAGAAGGCCTTCTTATTGCTCTTCATGTCCATCACCAGCTTCAGGACCAGGTGGGCTTTGCTTTTCCTAACTCCCCCTATGCACACTTGGATGGTGTCTCCACACTCCTGCTGCATGACCTGACTGCTTTCACCTCATGTATGCTTCTTTTCTTATGTTTCAAGTTTTCCTAGGACCTCTTTGTTCATCATGCAGGCCTCCTGCCACCTTCACTTGCTTTTGTCTTCTAGTACCTGGTTTTGTAATGTACTGGCATTTTACACTGTGAAGTTACCAAAGGATTCATAAAAAGCTAAAGGGATCATTCACATCTGTTTAGCTTTGAAGTGTGTAGGAAAACTTTATCTTGTAGCTCTTCTAGTAAGTCATGACTTAGCTGGAGTATGGCATCTGGGGGAAGAATAATAAGTTCAATGTAAAATTTTCTTACACATGAACAAAAAGAATAACCAGACTCCAGCCTTAAGTTAGTTATTTGGCTTCTTAATGATTCTTTTTTTTTCATCCGTTTTTCCTTTTTTTTTGTTGGGTTTTTTTTTTGGAAGGGGGGGAGAGGGAGGGAATTACCCTGACTGTAAGCCAGCTGAGCCTCACTGTTAATCCCCCATTCCACTTCTCGCAAATAACATTTATATTCATCTCTCTTTTGTATCTTGGATCTTATGCTTCTGTGGAGTGCAGACCCAACAGCTACAGCAAAACAACATAGATTTGAATGTTACTGACTCGCACAAAGATGATTCTAAATGCATAAGCGGTCATATACTTTGTATAGTTTTCTCCCTCATCTTTCTGCTGTTTGTTATTGCTACTACCTTTTTCCTCTGTTTGGCTTTTAAAACATGGATTGTGATTTATTGAAGTTCACACCTTACAATACAAAAAGAAGATATTCTTTAAGGTCCCTGTCCATCTATAACCTGTATTAATGTGATATGAAAATGCTTCTCAGTCTAGCTTGGCACTACAGTGCTTAGTGGTTTACAGTATTTGCCTTCTGGGTCTGTTGTTCATCAAAAGGATACTACTTCCTTATTGCATTTTTATTTTGGTGACGCAATTCCAAGAGAAGAAGAACCTTGACCTAGCTCTGCAAGCTTCAGCCAGGATCTCTGCAGTGGTGCCTGTTTAATTCCCTTTGCTGCTCTGGAAACACATGTTGTAATGAGGCCATGGAATGGCACTCTCTGGAATTGAATGTCATTCCCTGGCTGCTGCTTGTACTGTACATTTCAGTTTTATGGTCCTGTGCCTGCAACATAAAAAGTATGGGAAGACTTCCCTTTGCACTCACACAAAGATAAGTGGAGTCACTGTACTGGAAGGTGTGTTGCAGAGGCATGTGCAGTGGAGATACAGAACTGGTTTTGATACAGGAAGGTCTGGCACATCCATCATGATGATCTTCCAGATCTATATTTGCACTGCCAAACGCTGTTAAAAATAACTAATATTACAGGACAGCATGCTGTTCCTGGACAAAAACATCAGGAAAAGCATACACAAGATTCCTTTGTCTCTCAGTACTTAATGGATGCAGAAGGTCAAGTAAGTTGTTTTACTCCCTTCACAAAACTTAGTAAATATATTTTGTTGTTGAGTCCTGCATTATTAATTTGTCTTTGACCTTATCGCAGATTTTGTGTTCTTCATTTAGTAGATATTAATTCACATAGCCTTTTACATATGCTAAGTAATTATCCTTTTTATGCTACAGTTGTGCATTTATATGCTGTAATTCCCGTTTTACAACTGCCAAAACTGAAGCCAGGTTTGGGGAAGTTGGCTTTATTTAAACTGGAGGGAATTCACCTGTGATCTGGGCTTTAAATCTGGAATTGCAATTTCAGTTTTGTAGTTCCCTAATTATAAAGCCATGTCCTAATAAGTGTTTTCTCAAGGACAGCATAAGTGGAGCGGCCTGTTTAGTTGCTGGTAACTGGGAAAAAAGTTTCTACTATTCACCAGAGATTAAAAACATCATTTGGGCAGTATATGAACTGTAGAAAAATAGCTTGGGTTGAGTGTAGTGGAAAGGATGAATAATGAATTTCATTTCAGTGAAATGACTTAGAAACATATTTTGGTCCCTGTAGCCTAGATTATCTCAGAGACCAAGAGCGGTGTATGTGGGTCTCAAAGGTTGACTGAAGTCTGTTGGATCAGTAAATGTGGAAGGCAAGCAGAGCTGCTGTGCATGGTTGACCTACATCTGAAGAAAACAGAGCAGGAATTAGAGAGGATGTATTTGCTTTGTGTGGCAGGTTTGGTAGTGGGGGCTGCAGGGGTGGCTTCTGTGAGAAAACACCAGGAGCTGCCTCTGTGTCAGATAGAGCCAGTTCCAGCTGGCTCCAAGACAGATCTGCCGCTGGCCAAAGCTGAGCCCATCAGCAGTGTTTGTGGCACCTCTGTGATAATAGGTTTAAGGAGTGGTAACAAATGCTGTGCAGCAGCTGTGAGAGAGGAGTAAGAAAATATGAGAGACAGCCCTGCAGACGCCAAGGTCAGTGAGGAAGGAGACAGGAGGAGGTGCTCCGGATGTTGGAGCAGAGATTCCCCTGCAGGCCATGGAGAAGAATGGTGGCACAGATTGCCCCCCTGCAACCCATGGAGGGTCACGTCAGAGCAGATATTCACCTGCAGCCCATAGAGGAACCCATGCTGAAGCACAGGGATGTGCCCTGAGCGAAGCTGCAGCCCATGGAGAGCCAGCGTTGGAGCAGGCTCCTGGCAGGTTTTGTGGCACAGCCTGTGTCCCACGGGGATCCACACTGGAGCAGTCTGCTCCTGACGGACTGCACCCCATGGAAGGGACCTATGCTGGAGCAATTCAGGGAGGACTGACTCCTGTGGGAGGAACCCCATGCTGGAGCAGGGGAAGAGTATGAGGAGACAATGAATAGCAGCAGAGACAATGTGTAATGAACTGACCACAGTACCCATTCCCCATCCCTCTGTGCTGCTCAGGGATAGGAGGCAGGAGAGACGGGAGTGAAATTGAGCCTGGGAGGAAGAGAGTGGAGGGGAAAGGTGGGTTTAGTGTTGGTTTTGAACTATTCTGTTGGGTTATTAAGTGGCAAAAAATTAAATTAATCTTCCCCAAGTCAAGTCTGTTTTGCCCATGCTGCTAATTGATGAGTGATTTCCTTGTCCTGATCTCAAGCCACGTGCTCTTCTCTTGTGTTTTCTAACCCCCTGTCCTGTTGAGGAGGACAAATGAGGGAGTAACGCAGTGGGCACCTGGTGGCCAGCCAAGGTCAACCCACCACAGAGGAAATGAGCAGGAAGTTCTTGATGTTTCTTGCTATTCCCAGGGTATTATAAAAGTTAAGGCAGTTCTCATTCCAGTTACAAAGCGACCAGCAGGGATGCTGAGATAGTCTTGGTTAATTGGTATCTCTGGTCTGTAACTCTGTTACATCTTCTGTAAAAAGTGATTCTCCTGAATATTTTGTTTCTCTCCCATAATTTTTGAGAGTGTAACTGTACTTACCTCAAAGATACCAGCAGGAAATAAGACATTATTCAGCTACTAGAGTGTTGTTTTGTCATTTCCAATTGCACAGCAAACATGAGAAAAGTCTTTAATGTATCTGTTCCATTAAAGTTTGAATTGATCTTGAACCAATTCATCCAGATACAACAATACACCTAGTTGGAAATATCTTTAAGAAATAGGAATGGTTCAGTGCTTCAGGGACATTCTTGCAGCACTGTCTGTGCTAGGAGGTATATTAAGCTGAAAGCAGTATTGCTATCATGCAGAGAAAAAAGAAAAGGGCTCAGTAATTTGTCCTTTTCCAGCTATCAGTAAGTTAACTGTTTAAGAAACTCTGCCAAGTTTTGCATGAAAATCTTGTAATTTCTAAAGTCTGTATCTGGATTAAAGTGCATCTGTATTTACTTAGATTGCCTTTTTGGCAGGGCAGGGGGAACTAAGCATACACATCGGCAGCACTCATTTGAGGCATTATAAGGGAAAAAATACTTGCAATGCTTGGGAAGGAGATTCTGTAGATCTTTGTTGTAAAACTCGTTCAACTTCCCAAGCTTAACCTCTGGGTGTTGGGTTTTTTTCGCTTTTTAACTTTGATGGACTCTTTTGGGGTGGGAGGTGTGTGTTAACAGTGTCACCTGCAATAGGCATTTGTCTTTTGTGTAAAGTACATAAGCACTTTATAGAATGGTTTGGGTTGGAAGGGACCTTAAAGATCATCTAGTTCCAACCCATGGACAGGGGCACCTTCCGTGAGACCAGGTTGCCCAAAGCCCCATCCACCTTGGATGAGGCTCCTTCCTTTGGTGAGCCTTGTAATTTATCAGAATTTAACTTCATCTGTGGTAGGGAAAAACAATGTGATTTGACACCACTTAAAAACAATGAGGTGCCTCTGCTTTGTCTTTCTCGTAGCCAGGCCTCAGTCTGGCGTTAAATTTTGTTTAAGTATGAGTTTGCAGCTTGGAGGGGCTTTCATCATTTTATTTGTTTGGCATAAAAGCTGTGTATTGTCAGAGTACAGAAGGCAAGCTGAACATAAATGTCTATGTGGGTGGAAAGGGCTGGAGCTGCCAGTGCTTTCAGTCTTGGGTGCCTCTTCTGCAGGAGTGCCAGTCGGGTTCCTGTTAGTGGAGGTCTGGGGAGGAGGGTGGCAGTCCTGTTCTCTTATGTGTGCAGTGGCTCTTGGGCCATACAAACACCTGTTCAAGCTTCTTTTGGCACACTCATGGTGATACTTACCTGCTCGAGTTCTCCCCTTTTAAAAATCTCTATTTACTTTGTTTGGTTCACATTTATGTTTGTTCTTTTTGTTTCTCTGCTTTCTCTTCCCACTCTCACACATTTCCTCTTCAGTTTTCCCTTCCCTGCCAAGTCACTCATCATTTTCATTTTGCATACTGCCTGGAATACTTTCTCCTGAGTCTCTTCTAATTCCCTTTTGATTAGTTTTTTTATTTTGTTCAGAGATTGCATATGCAGACAAGAATGCTTAGAATTTAGACACCTATTGGATAACTTCCTAGCGCAATCTGAAGCTTGCATTCAAGGATTTATGCATGCTACCAAAAATTGTCTTTAGGATAATGCAAAGAGCTCCTGTGCTCAAGGCACTTTGCTCACATTAACTGAGTTCTTGAATCAAATATTGTTCAGGTGAAGTAGTAATAACATATTGTGAAGAATATGTCTGCTCTGGCCTGGATGGTTTTGCCATGTTATGAGTGAAAAACCTGTCAATAAATGAATAATTAGATGAGGAGAATCAGTAAGAACAGAATCCTGTTTCAGAAGGTTATTGAACTGCACTGGAAAATCTTCTGAACAAAGACTGGCATAGTTCCAGTGCTGCTACCTGCCAGGAGATGATAGAATGCAGTTAAAGAAATATGGCTGTTGTTAAAGAAACACAGCAGCAGAGCACTGGTATTTCAGCTCACAGAGAGGCTGATGTGTACATTAGCACCAGGAATAAGAGCTACTTCATGTAATCTCAATAGTGTTGTATTAGGAGGGTTTAGAAAATACAGGCATGCTCCCCAAAGTGTTAACATGATTTTGGTGCTGTGAACACTCACAAAACCTTCAATGGGGTGAGAACAGCAGCAAATCAACGCTCTCTCCCCCAGACAGGTGAGATTAACTACAACTCAAAGGGTGCAGTTCTTTTAATTCCTGTTTCTACATGCCACATTCTTAGGTGTAGAGATTTCTTGGTCTGCCTGTTACTTCTTTACTGTGTACTGTCATACCAACAAAAATAGCCTATAGAATATTTTAAGCATCTGCTCTGGAAAATCAGGAGACTTCAGTAAGAAGATATTGAAATGATTTAGAATGCAAGTAGTTGTGATATCCTTGATCAAGAAAGCTACTGGCAGAAGACACCATCTTTGATGGAAGTCTAACTACTTACAGATACATTTCTTCACCAAAACAAACCAAAAACCAAACCACCAAAACAAGCCCCCCTCCAAACCTTCATATGTATCCTCTCTGGTGTCTGCACAAAAATGGCATGCGTCCTTCCATCCCAACCCACTTCGTGCACATCCATGACAGATACATTTTGTAGTTCTTCATCTTCTGTAGTGGTTTTACAGCCAATGTTCTGGGGAACAGCCCTATGCCTTCAGCCCCTTGTGTCTGCCCCAGGAAATCCTGTGAAGCACTTTGGCATTTCCTATGGGCGATGTTAAACCCTGCCCAACCTGCAAGCAGTGTGTAGCAGGAACTGGTCTACTGCAAGTGCCAAGACCTGCAGGGACTTGGGCACAGCAGTCAGCAGTGTGGCAGCAATGTGGAACCCTACCACGATCTGGGCTGGATTGATGAAGTTGTAGGCACAGGGTTAGGGGAGGAGATGTTCTTTTTTCACTGCCTTTCAGAACTTTTGAGACCACTTCTGGAGTGCTGTATCAGGTGTAAAAGAGCAGAAAGTAAATCTCAGAGATTTCATTTCTGTTCAGTCACTGCTTTAAAAACTTGGTTTGACTTTTGTGAGCCCTTATATAGATCACTGGAAGGGTGATGAAAATATTCAGGTAAAGAGAATGTCTTGCAACATGCCCTCTACATGTTTCATTGGGGAAGTATTGAAGCATGTAGCAAGACTTCTCAGCTAAGACCTTGATTGGCCTTCATCCTGGTCTCAACTGATCTCTTAAAACTTAATGCTGCTGGAACATATGAAACTAAACTATGATGGCACACGAGAGACATCTGTTGCAAGAGAACATTTCTGACATAAAATAGTAGACTTTATTGTGATACACACATATATGTATATAGCAATGCCAAAAGTTAACTGGAAGCAGGATTTTATGTATGGGAAGGATTAGAAAGAACTATATGAAGAATTAGGAAAAAAAAAATCTATGATCTGTTGCAGTATTTGAACTCATTTAGTGGTTTCTTTTTATTGGGGGAGGGGAAGGGCAAAGTACTAGGTTAATTATCTGAATGTTAAAAACGTAGCTAAAAAGGTCTTTTGTGCAATAAATAAACATTTTCTGATTGAAGTACTTTAGCACCATGAAAAAGAACTTTCTGCCTTGCCCCAGGCAACTTCTTTAAGGTAGGACCTCCTTAACTAAAATATACTTTCTCTTTTTACAGTATATTCACTCATCAGGCATAATTCACAGGGTAAGTGGAAACAATACAAAAGATGTTTATGTTTTGATAATGTGAGAGGTGTTTGTGTATAAGCATGTTCATAAATGTGCCTGAAACTCTGTTTATAGTACCTGGGTTTGATGATGCCTTTGGTTTCTTCTTCAGTAGGGACAAAAGGTGGTATGGCTGCATCAGTGTAAACTGGGCACTCGAGTTGCACTGAATACAGCTTAGATTTGGCTTTCTTAAATTGCCTTGTGAAGCTGAGTTGTAAGTCCCCACACGAACAAATAGTGTCTAAACTAAGATGGCTAAGTGTTTTTTTTCTGGCTTTTTTTAAAATTAAGATTAAACTTTTATAAACAATATTTAAATGTTATTTAAATATTACGTTAATGTTCGGGGGGGGTAAAAACATAGAAACTGAAAAAATAGTCTGAAATTGTAAAGCCTTTGACCCTCTTTTTTCTGAGAGAAGTTAAGCACCTGATTCTTTTTGAATCCCTGCTGTGTCTAAAGTGCACTTAAAGTCACTTTGGCACTGTGAATAATGAGTTCTGAAAGATTCCTTCCTGCTTCCAAGCAGTGTAACTTCCCCCAAAACTGTATCACAGCAATAGAAACTGACCTTTTGTTCCAAGATATCAGAAGCAGCACAGAAAGTGTACACCATATAATGATAGAATCATAGAATACTTAGGGTTGGAAA